AAGTGATTTTTTGGAGAAAAATTACCCTGGGTGACATTGTAAGTTTTAGGCGGTTAAATTAGCAGGTCACAGTGCTTTCTACTTGTCTCAGTATTGACTGTCTCGCCGTACTTCAGACGGGACTTCATACTTTCCATTGTGAAATGTAGATGCTAATAGGTGTTTTTGAAGACAATGGCACAGTATTTTAGGTGAATTTACAAGCTCTATGAACTTTGTATGCGGGACAATGGCATCGCAAACGCACACAATGCCTTTAGACCTATCGTAATACGACCGAGACGTGTGCTCACCGGATGCGTCCCAGGGACTCACCAGTTGAAAAATTCATGCGTCCCACAGAAAAACTATGCTTCCCGGACGCGGAATTCCGCGTTAACGCAATCCCTGTTGTAATAATATTGAGTTTCGACTTTAATATTTAATAACTTATTTATTAATCGATTTTTTTGATTTTGAATATTTTCTAGTAACTCAATCAGTGCTCTGCAATTATTGTCTACTTAACCTTGAATTTGTTTTTCTTTGAAGAGAACAGTATCACTACCAAGCCAATCAACCCTTTCACTAATGGTCCACCAGCTAAGAAACAAAAATTAACTCAAACAGAGTCTGAACCAATGCCAGGATGCAGTAAAGACAGTGATGACAGCAGTAACAACACCACCACCAAAGACTTGCCTAGTTTTTGGATTCCTTCATTGACACCAGATGCTAAACCCACACTAGTTAAAAAACCAGTGAGTAAAACCCATGGATTTTCTTAACATTTTTCAAGTAGTCTTATTATGTTAGTAAATAGTGAGTGGACAAATACTCACTTTGTTTACTTTTAGCAGATATTCAGCTTTTAAATCAACAATATTCATATTCTACGGTTAAACTGCTACAGCTGTTATACAGCATGCAATTTTATGTTAACACATAAATGTATTTTATTTTTGTATACACTGCATGGTGGGTCCCTTATGACAATGGGGCACGGCATATCATGGTGGGAGTGGTGTGACTGTGGCACTTTGCATATTCACTAAGTTACACATTGTTGTCAAAACATCCATAAATAATCTAACCAATCATAATACTTTGATGGTTCATTGTACTGTAGTGCATGTGATCATAAATAGTTAGATCAGCTTTGTTTGATATGCCTTTAAGTTTGGAACGTATTTATTTGCAGTCTAAACAAGTGCTCTGTCCAATGAGTGGAAAACCATTGAAAGTCAAAGATTTGATTGATATTGAGTTTGTCCTCATAAAAGATAAAGATGACAAACGAAGCCTTGTGACCAAAGACGCCAGATACATGTGTGCTGTAACTCATGATGTACTGTCTAATTCCACACCATGTGCAATATTGAAAACTAGGTAAGCCTCTTTTTAACACAAACATTTTGCAGTATGCATTTGAATTTTGTGTAATCAAATAATGTATTTTACACACACACACATTGTATACATCGCATGGGACCCGTATCAAAAACGATGCGGCACAACGACTTGGGTTCTTTTAAGATAAGAATACTAATGCCAATATTTGTATTGTCACTACAAGCAACATTAGAGACAAGTCTGACAAGTGCTTATGTAGTACCCTACACAGATCGACCCTCAGGCTTTAGTTTGAAATTATTATTTTCTCTTTTCTTTCAGTCGTAAAGTGATCACAATGGAATGCATCAACAAATTAATCAAGAAAGATATGGTAGATCCTCTGACAGAAACCAAAATTACAGACAGTGACATTATTCAACTACAAAGGGTGAGTAAATTGATAAATATTGTATTAAAAATGAAAGTGATGACTTGGATGATCTTTTTGAAGCTGTATAAATCACATGGTATATGTATGAACGCATGCAGTGAAAATAGCTACTAGTAGATTCACAGAAGATAAATTTATTTGTTCCTGTTTGGATGAAGTCTAAAACACAGATTTATAGATTCACTTATGTCTATTGTGCGTGTGCAGATTAGACTGATCATGTTCAAACTTCACACATCCAATTCAGGATGACTGAATGATGGCCATTTTAAAGTTGAAAATACATCAAAATCAAACATTTCTGCCACCTGAATCTTCACATATTTTGTTCATATTGGTACATACCAAAAAAAATCAAGGTCTGTATTAAATTTGCAAACCCAGTTAATATCCAAACACTATTTATTAAATGTATCCTTTTAATTTTCGATGTGCCAGAACGGATTTAAATTTGTACCTATTAATTTGCACTCTGACTTTTTATGCATTGTCTTTTAAATTACTTTCAACATTGTATTGCCATGTATTTCTCTGGTGATAACATCCAGGGATCACAACACATCGTATCGTAAGACAAGAACTTCAATCTTTTTACTTGCGACATAGACATATTTGCAGGCATGTGCTGAGAAAATTAATGCTTTAAAGCATTGCATATAGATTCTACCATTTCCTCTGTAAATGCAGAAACAAAGTATGACTGGCTGTTGTTGAAAGGTTAATCATGAGTTTGTTGCCTCCATATATTGATGCCATGAATGACCTGATGTTTGCATTTACATCTTTGATTGGACAGCTCTTGACCCCAATTTTTGTGTGCAGTATGCTGTACAGTAGTCTGTGCTCGCCAGAAGCTCTATTGCGACACCGTATGCATGAACTTCTTGCTAAACCTATCAATGCCAGATAAATTCATGGCAAATGTTCTTATCTGTTTTTATTCAGAAAAATGAATCGTATTTATTGAGTCAATCCAAAAATATTTGCACACAAGAAAAAGTTATTTTCATTTCTATACTATTAATTCATGCTCTAGAAAAAACAAATATTTTTACCAACAAGAATTAATTGAGTTTTCATAATACATTGTACTTAACGATTGGCTACATTGTCTACTACTAGTAATTACTCCAAGCCAGCAGTCAGGAAACAAACCCTGAAATATTTTAATTATATAGCATATCAATATCTGTATTATGTTCATGATCGTTTAGTAGTGAAATAAAATAATTAGAAATAATTGTTTCACCACAAAATAGGGTAAAATGTATAATCTACAAGGCATGTTGGGAAATGTGATCTCCGCCGTCAATCATTTTTGGTACACGTTTTTTCCAAAAAACATTATCATCGCAGTTTATGAAATTTATTAGTTTTGTTCTGCTTTTAAGATGTGTTCTTTTCTAACATTTTGTTTTATTTCTATTCGACATGAGTTGTTTATGGTATGTTTGTACAATCCAAGGTGACAAATCAGTAAATAGTCGTCAATTTCTTTGATTTATAATTACAAAATGCAACAATACATAATTGATGTGTCACTTGTGTGTATTGAATAAAAGGAAAAAAACATCAAAAGGCTGTTTTGTGTGTCAAGCTTTTCAAAATTTTAGGTTTTGTCTTGTAGTTCATGGTAAATAACAAAATTTTTCTCATTTTCCCCTTAATATTCATGAATATATCCCTTTGTTTATAAATATGCTAAATTTTGTGTTGGTTCAAAATATAAGCTTTTATAAGGGTTGCTATAAGTAGCTGGACAACAGCAAGGGCTCTGCTTGCTGCCAAGCTTCAAATGATGACATTGCATATTCAAACAAAGTTTTATCAAATTCAATACTGTCTATCTTTAAAATACTTCTATCATGTCACACATATTGACATGTAAGTTCTGATATAAAAAATGGCCGACTCATTTGCTAATGCATGATGGAAACTGTGTCATGTCAATGACTTGTTTTATCTTTATTTTCCAGGGTGGTACAGGATATGCTGAAACTGGTGTTGACTTGTATGCCAAGAAATACCGTCCTGTCATGATGGCATCATAACACAACATCAATGAATCCAAGCTCAACAACATCTGTCTACTATAATAAATCATGTGTACCATAAACTTTGACAAAGGATAAAGCATAACAAGATGTTTGAAATACTCAAGCGCTTTCTGGACACTATCTACATTCGTGTCAAATCAGCTTATCTGAAGGGTCATTTTATCATCAAAGCGCCCTCTAGAGTATGATTTGTAATGTTTGCCAATAACCCACACAAACCTCTTGCAGTATTGGTAAATTAAAGAAAGAAAAAAAGACAAATGAATTTGAGAATAGTTATGGCAATGCGAATAGATCTGTACTTCAGTTCATTGATTAGTTTAATTATTGTGATGCCTTTTGTGTCGTGAACAAATAGCTTGTTTTTTTCCCCATAGATTTTCTTGATATTATACATGTACATTAACATTTTTGTTATGAGAGGTGAATAAGTAAATAAATGTCTTAGTTAATCAACATGCATGGTAGTTCTTACAGCAGATTTGACGTACGTTTTAGCCCCGGAAGCACAGCGTTGTAAGAGTGGCCAATATTTACATTTGTTCATAGCTGCGTTTTCTAACACCACAATAGATCTCTGCTATAACAAAAAAAAAAGTGAATGCCTGCCTTTAATTCCTCATACTGTAAAATACTTTATTTTAGCTGGAATTAATTTTCCCTGAAAAGACATTTTGGGTGTTTTGTATGGATTCTATTTTCACTGATTTTTGAGTTGAATGTAAAATATAGGAAAAAAAGTATATTCTCTGGATTTTATTTTCACTGAATCTTTCCTATAGCGAAAAATTAATTCCAAGCGAAAATAAAGTATTTTACAGTACTCAAGATTTTAACTGAATTAAAGCCAATTAGATATGTGAGATTTTTACTGATACATAATGTTTTGGGTCATTAATAAGTTTTGTTTGGTTGAAATAAGTGCACATCAGTTTGCATGTCCTTGCCTTTTTTACTACAGCTGATGTATGGTAGGGTTTGTGTGAGCTGCTGCTAAGTAAATGTCCTCCGCTCTTGTTATGTGTGTGAGAGCTATGCTTTGCACAGTATGTGGACTTAAACCTAAACCATGTGTGGTTGTTTACGTGAACACATTCACTTTTCACTGGATTTTCGCTATTTTCACTGATAAGTAAAATCTGCTAAATTATGTGAAATAGAACTTGTAGTTTCCCTGCCAGGTCCATGAAATCAAAACCCAGTGAAAATAAATGTTTCATAGAAATCAAATTGAACAAACTAATTGGAAGAAAAGCCCAAAGTATCCAGAAAGGTACTGTAGCCATTTTTATTAGCTCTTGGTAGACAAATTATTACTCTGTCTGTATTGCACAGATTTAGTAATTATATATTCACTTGTTTATGTACAAAGAAAGTCTGTAATTGTGCTACTTGAATGCTATGTGTACATCGTCAGCTTATTCATTTCACTCAAATGAATATAAATATTTTATTGCACCATATACACAATGTGAGAATAATGTATGTGTCACTGGAGTTTTTTCATTCGATCGTCATGGTAAAGGGCGCCCTCAAGCTTCCCAAAAGAACTAAATGTTTCTGACAAGGAATTTTTAAAGGGGTACAAAAGTCTAGAATTTATCACTTTTAAAATAATTAAGTGTTTTATTGAAATAAAAATAGATTTAAATAAGTAAGACCGCCTCTATCGCTTTAAATGGCCCGTTTAAAAAAATGGGAAAATGAATAAAGGAAAGAAGTACTCAATTTGCAGTTTCCTTGCGGGCGCTACATTCTACTGTGACGTCAATTGGAATAACGTTTACCCAATATCGTCCACAATATGCCATATTTATCGGTTTAGCAGTTTTTATTTATTTACAACTAGTATTTTAGCCAACAATGAGGGTTTGTTTTTCTTTTCTATGCCCAGGGTGATAGCTACATGATGCATTGTGTTGACGTACAGTTCCTCCACGTAAATAAATAAATGATAACATGTTTAAAAACGGCGAGCCCTGTATGATATTTGGATGGATAGATGGATGTAGTAAACAGAGATAGAAAACAGTCACAAAAGAATGTGCTCTGTACAGTGTCTGACATCAAAAGATGCAATTCTTAATCTGGACAGAAATAAATTGTCAGTAATTTACTTATTATCTTTTAACTAAGTGACAAGCAGGTCCACTGAAACATACATACCATTCATCAAATGTCTGGTGAATTTCAACATTTTGAATTTAAAGTATGTCAGATGACGCTACCGGGTAGGACATTCATGAAGCCCTGGAAGTCTTTCACGTGGAAGTGTCCCGAAGTCCAGACACTTGGTCGGATCACGGTGCTGACGCATTGCATTCGTGACGTATGCTTTTACCAGTGCCGGATCCAGAGGGGGGCATGCGCCCCAAACGCATGACGATTCATATCACAGGGT